TAATTTGACTTAGATGATCGTATAGACTGCTATCGATGACAACAAATGATAATTGATTGCCACAATCTTAGCCATTATTTTATTGTGATGTTTTATTGCATACTTACAAGACTTGTGAAATTTTTCTGTCACTAGCTTAGAGAACCACAGAACATCAACTTCAGTGTTAATGCTGTGTAACTTTGTTTTTTAGTTAAACATTTTATTCTCATTGTGATGCGTCAGACAAAAGATAATTATAACATTTTGTTCATATATATAAGTAAAATGTCTACAACATCAGTTTCTCTTTTTACAATTCGTTTTTTTTCTGGCAAAATATTTTAAAAGAAACGTGTTCTTGTCAGTTATGTTATTTGCAGATCAAGTAGCAAAAGATTCAGTTCATCAAATTTTTACTTTCAATAGTTTTAACTGAGTGCAGCAGTCCAAGTTGGCTATTTAAAATTTAAATGTTCTTCTTCTTATTGTTATTATTAGAGTAGTACTTTAAATGCATTATTTTAAAATATTGTTAGAGCTTCATCGAGGAATCCAGTCAGAGTCAGAAGAATAAGTTTTTTTATTCCAAATGTATTTGTAAGAAATGTACAAAGTGTTTAGAATGAAATGGAAATAATCAACCAGTGTAATCCTTAAAATGGTTCTTGGTTGAACTGTGTTCTTCAAGCGGTTTAAAAAGAGTTTTGGAAAGAAGTGTGCAGTACAGTATATTCGCTGATTAATTTTGACTTTCAGGATCGTTCCATTGCCGTTTGGGACATGGTTTCTCCTACAGAAATCAACCTCAGAAGGGTATTAGTCGGACATCGAGCAGCTGTAAATGTTGTAGATTTTGATGAAAAATACATCGTATCTGCTTCAGGGGACCGAACTATTAAAGTCTGGAATACATCCTCTTGTGAATTTGTTCGAACTTTGAATGGTCACAAACGAGGTATTGCTTGTCTTCAGTACAGAGATCGTCTGGTTGTCAGTGGCAGTTCGGATAACACCATTAGGTAATTATTAATTTCTCGTCAGTGTTTATTCAGTATTAATGAAATCCTGACTCAAAAGTTATTGTTAATAAAAATATATTTTTTTTTATTATTTCAATTATTTAAGTATGAAGGTTAAAGTAGACTTAAAAGTATACTTCATTTGTCATACCTTTTTCTGCAGCTGCTGAACAAATTCATATTCATTCATTAGTCTTCATACTGTCATAAAATATCAAATTGACCAACTCAACAGTTTGCTTAAATATAAGCAGTTGATTTAGATATGAGCTATAATTTCAAAGAAAATGCACCATACTCTCTATACACTTCCAGCTGGACTGTTTGATTTTTAAACTTCTTTTACATCAGAATAAAAACTTATTTAAAAAAAACGTCAAATAGACCTAAATTTTATTGTAGTGAGAAATGTGTAACCTTCTCTAAGCAAAGCAGTTTTAGAGTGAGGATTTATTGGCATGAGAGAAAGTAAGATACTTTAATATTAAAGATGGCTGGCTAGTAATATGCATGCTTCTACTACCTACTACTGGTCATAAGTTGCTTAAGCTAAAAAAAAATGTAGCTTTGTATGCTTCTCTATCTGTTCTGTGGTGTTCAGTGTATATTACATTATATTAATATGATTAAAAGGGATAACAGTGCATTAGATTCTTCTTGCATTTACCCAAATTTTGTTCGAAATTTAGAAACTAAAAAGAAAATGTTTCCAGAGGTGTTAATTTCTTCTCTTGTTGTGTAATTATGAAACTGTTTATTAAGTATTGCCTGGGTAAAAATTGATGACAATAGAATTGTCATATTGTTGTATAATAATTTTTTCCTGTTTATTATAATATCCTACATTTCAGCTGCCGATGAGCCAAACGTGGCCTAGTGGTTAACACGCTCTGATTATGAACCTGAGAGCTTATGGTTTAGGATTCATTGTCACAAAAACACATTTGGCAGTTTGAGACTATCTGTTATAAGAGTGATCGTCAAATTATGTGGTGACAGGGACTGGAATATGATTATTAGTCTTGTTAAAAAAGGCATTTGGGCATGTTCAGAAAAGTCTTGAGAACTATGTGGCAGCAGGGACTGGAATTTGATCATGGGTCTTGTTAAAAAAAGGCATTTAAGCATGTTCAGGAAAGTCTTGAGAAGAACTGTGGTGGTAGGGACTGGAATTTGATCATGGGTCTTGTTAAAAAGGCATTTATGATATCCACTTATCTAGGGGTTTCCTCCACAAGGTCTTGAATCAACCACTTAACTCTTTCAGCACGAGCTAA